AATCCTATTGCTATTATTACCGTCATTGCGCAAATATAGTAAAAAGTATTGCACAATGACGATGCAATAATAATACTGTCATGTTCAGAGCTACAGAAGTAGATTAATATTTATTAATCTTAGTATTTATTAAAATTAATTATAGATAATAATATATTACAACGTTTTTTCAGATTCTTTTATTTCATATGAAAATAAAAGTGAGGATATTTCATCAATATTGGCGCTGAGAGATGTAGAAACTATATAATTACTCAGAAAAAAATATCTAATATCTAAATAAATCACAATAAAACAAATAAAGTAAACTTATTTCGTTTTTTCTAACAAGTATATGCATTTGATCTGTTTTTTAAAAAGGTGATATTTTTTCAAGATATCGTTAGCACTAAATCTTAAAATAATGTATTATCAATATCAATGTATAAAATCAATTTATAAACCTATAACAGGATAACATCATCTGTTTTTTGGATGATCACATATGAATACATTTGCTGCCATTGTTTAATTAAATAATTGGGAATGTCACAATCAAAAAGATTAATCCACTGTAATTTGAGACAATGCATAAAAATTAATTGACACATATTGGATATGAGAAATGATATGTCTTTCAAATCCAACTGTTTCAAATATTTGCTAGCGGCAACTGAAGGATGTCACCGCTACAGCTCGACCTCTCAAAATTTCATCATTGATACTTCAGAGAAATGAATAGCCTTATTTTCTCAATGAATGCAGGTCGGGCTACAGCGGTAACACCTCCAATGCCATTGGCAAATAATACTAAAAATCCTTCTGGAATACAGCAGGATTGTGTAAGGCACGGCTGGAGCTCTAAATTGAATTGAAATTCTGATTAGATACAGCTTCATATTTTCAAATTACAAAGGTAAAAATACAATTATGTCATCAAGCACATTTTTTTAATAATTCCTTTTTTGTGAATTCAAATATTATATACCAATAATCTAGAGCTACAACATGTGATACATTGTCAATTAATTTTGAAGGTGTTTTGCTCCTTAATTCATAAGTTTTCTAAAAAGTTAGAAAAATATTAATTACTACAAAACTTTAGCATTAAAAGTTAGATTAAAATTATTTTCTGAAACAATAATAGACAATACATACCACGACAAATGTTTTTCGAAATTCTTTATAGTGGTAATACTTTAGGTGATCCAATTATATTGTGAGCAATGTAAAATTTGACACTGTCATACTGCAAACTAATATCACAAACTTTTTTCATAAATTGCTTAAGGAAATCAACATCTTCTCATCTACGAATATTCTGTCGATCTTTTGATATTGATTTTTATTATAATTACATAAATAATGATGAGATGCCATCTCGGTAAATGTACAGTATAGGGTATATACCTCACTTTAGAATTTATACTTGTTCAACTTTTTTTATTTACAAACAAAGGTTTGGAAAGAAAAATATTGTCGATTGTTGCTCTGAAGAGAGCTATTAATAAATTCTATATAAATAAATTATTAATTAATAAAGTTATCTACCCTATGGATTAAGATACATTAAAAGCTGCAAGATATGAAATATTTAAATGCAATGACATATTTTTTAATAATGAAATCATTAATATATATTGTATATTCCGCTAAATTGTATGATAAACTCATTATTGATTATTTATATAATTATTTGAAATGTTTATATACTTTTATATTTAAATAATTTCATATATAACAATATTTAAATGCACTAATCTGGTATAGTGCTGATAGGGTACCGATTCATTATATAAATGTTAAATTTGATGTTTTGAAAATTAGGAAATCTGTCATATCGACGTAGCACTAGCTCTTCTTCCTCTCTTTTTGGCTTTCACTTGGCGATGAGGCAATACAAGCCAGGATCAGTCAAAACACAAACAAATGCGAAACCGTTGAGTGACGCACTTAGTAAAAATACTTGTCTCCGGTAATGAATGTGAGAAGCAGTATTGTTAGATAAGAAGTCGATTTGGATACGTTCCATGACAAATTTTCTAACCTTTAAAACTTTAAATTTAATACTCAATTAGTGTCGGTCCACAATAGGTGATTTAAGCTTTAAGAAGTAAGAAATTGACCAATTATAATCGAATATAAAAAGAATAATCGACTATGATTGGTCAATTTCTTACGACTTAAAGATTAAATACTTATTGTGGACCGACACTTACTTATCAGAACAATGAATGACGATTTTTTTGAAATCTATGTTTTTAGGTAAAAAGAAATCGACTAAATGCAAATTTATTAAATTCTAAGGTAGACCTTTAAATTGAATATTGATCAATATGGCATTTTATCAACATCATAATGAGAATCCATATTACTCCAGAAATATTTTTATTGAAAGTGTATTCATAGATGAGAAGAATCATGTTGATTTCATTGAACAATTTGTGAAAAATGTTTGTAACTTTAGCTCTCAATATGGTAGTAGTTACAGTATATCTTATACCGCCCACAATTTAATTGGATCACCTAGAATATTTCCAAACTACGGAGATTTTCCACAAGCATTTGTCATGGTATACATGTATTATCCATTATTATTTCTATAGAAAATAATTTAAATCTGATGCTAGTAGATTTTGTAATATTTTTATAATTTTTTAGAGAACTTATGGATTATGGTGGGATAAAGCACCTTCAAAATCAATTGACTATATGCCACAGAATAATTCAAATGTTGTAGGTCAAGATTATATAGGTAATATTTAAATTTGTAAAAAAGTGATTATTAAAAAAATGTGTTTGATAAGGTTATATTTTTACTTTATGATTTGAAGATATTGAATACTATGAAGCTGTGTATCCAATCAGAGTCTCAATATATGAGACATTTAATCCTGGAAGTGTAATTCGAATTTGGGCTCAAGGGTCAGATCAGTGGTTTCAGTTATGGAGTGGACCGCCTCAGATTGTTCGGCCAGTGTCACGTATATTTTCCCCACCTTTAAAGATGTGCTATACTAAAATCAAGATGATTAGATTAGAATTTAATCACAGTTTATTAGACTATTATACAGAGTTGGATGCTGTGCTACTTATTGGTACATCAGAATTGGTATTTCCGAAAGATCAAACCTATAAATGTTTAACCGACCTGTTAATGAGTACTATACCAATTTGCAACGAAGACATTCATAATTTAACAGCAAACTGTCAATTTGCCCACATGGATATAGACAATCTTAAAAATACTTTACATGAACATTGTGTTATATATAAAAGGTATTACAATTATCATCATTAAATATGAATTTTTTAACGTTCTTAACAATAAAAAGTAAATTTGTATTAATCTTATGCAGTAATATATTAGAAAATTTTCAACTGAGCAAACTAATACCACAGTTAGAACAATTTTATTATTATGTGCCAACTCTTAAGGAGGGATATAATAGTATGCAACAGTTTTTATTAAAAGAATATTCAAAGTTTATTGAAGATATCCAATTCTCGTCAGATGAATCCAAGAAGTTACCATGTGGCAATTTTTCTGTGCTTCCTGTAAAGTAGTCTGAGAAATTCTCGTAATGATATTTATCGCAACTATCTTATTTGTTAAAACTTCATATTTTATTTATCTTTGCAGATTGAAGTAATACAAAGAATATTAAAATATTTGGACTTGAAGTCACTATGTTATATGAGCAGAGTAAATAGATATTTTAATAATTTAGCACAAGATCCTTTGCTCTTCACAAGTTTGAACTTGAAGCCGTACTGGAATATCATTGATAAACGTCTATTTGAATTCTTGACACCTAGATATAAGTACTTGAGAAAGCTGGATCTTTCATGGTCTTGCAGATTTTCTAATATAGAAATCGTAAAGTTCATTAATACATGTGGCAGTTTTTTGACACATCTACGATTGCGTTGCTCTAGAAATATCACTGATATTGTCGTTCTCGAAATTTCAAGAACATGTAAAAATTTGAAAGGTATGCGATATATCTAAGGAACCAGTATTGTGTATGTATGTGTGTGTGCGTGCGTGCGTGCGT